AATTTGTTAATCACTGCTCTGACCTTAAAGGGTAATGCTATTTTGAATCAATTTAGCATTATAATGCCCCATGAAAACAATTCCTCAAAACAGGACTCTATATATAAATATGAATATATAAATAAACATACATTCATATATGTTCACACACACAGCAGAGAGGCAAGGTGCTTGGCACAGTAATTGAGATGTCACTTGGATGCCTGGCTTCACATTTTGGCTCCATTTCTGATCCAGCTTCCTACTAATGTGCATCCTGGGAGGCAGCAGGTAATGGTTCAAATACTTGGGTCCCTACCATCCATGTGGAAGTCCCAATTGAGCTTGGGATCTTGGTTTCAACCTAGCCCAGCAAAACTGTTACAGGCATTTAGGGAGTGAACCAGCAGATGGGACATCTCCCTCTCTCTTTCTTTCTCTACCTTTCGAATAAAAATAATTTTTAAAAATGCAAACATGTAGTGGAGAATGAGTAAAATTTTTTTTAAAGATTTATTTATTTATTTGAAAGGCAGAGTTACAGAGAGGCAGAGGCAGAAAGAGAGAGAAAGGTCTTCCATCTACTGGTTCACTCCCCAAATGGCTACAACGGCTGGAGCTGGGCCAATCCAAAGCCAGGAGCCTGGAGCTTCTTCCGGGTCTCCCATGCAGGTGCAGGGGCCAAAGGACTTGGGCCATCTTTCACTGCCTTCCTAGGCCATAGCAGAGAGCTGGATTGGAAGTGGAGCAGCCAGGACTAGAACCGGCACCCATGAGGGATGCCAGCACTGCAGGCGGTGGTTTCACCCTCTATGTTGCAGCACCGATGCAGAGAATGAATAAAATTTTTAAAAAAGATCTAAAATAGAGTCAGAGAGTCTTTTGCACAAGGGGGAATTTAAATTATTATAGCACACTGTGAAAATAACATCAGGGAAAAAAACACTGAATTCTAGATAGGATGATACTAAAGAGACTCAACTAGTACTAGACCTAGCACATTTTATCTGTGAAAGTGTGCTAAGAATGGAAAAAATGTGTACCATCATTGCGAGTCCCATCTGTGTTCCTGATTCCAGCTTCCATTAAAGTGTACCCTGGGAGGCAGAAGGTGATGGCATGAGTAGTTGGATACCTAGATTTAGTTCTGGGCTCCTGGCTTTGGCCTGTCCCAACACCAACTGTTGCAGACATTAGGGAATCAACTAGCAAATGGAAGACCTCTCCATGTCTCTTTCTCTGCCTTTCAAATAAATTAATTTTTAAAAAAAATTGTTCCAATGACTCATTTTATGAATCTGACAGCAAACTTTTATTCCCAGTGTTTGGTTTTACTATTGATATTAGTAACTGATGAAATATTACAAAGTTCAAATTTTCCTGGTTATACTCTTTCTTTTTTTTTTTTTTTTTTTTTTAATTTTTTGACAGGCAGAGTGGACAGTGAGAGAGAGAGAGACAGAGAGAAAGGTCTTCCTTTGCCGTTGGTTCACCCTCCAATGGCCGCCACGGCTGGCGCGCTGCAGCCGGCGCACCGCGCTGATCCGCTGATCCGATGGCAGGAGCCAGGTGCTTCTCCTGGTCTCCCATGGGGTGCAGGGCCCAAGCACCTGGGCCATCCTCCACTGCACTCCCTGGCCACAGCAGAGAGCTGGCCTGGAAGAGGGGCAACCGGGACAGAATTCGGCACCCCAACCGGGACTAGAACCCGGTGTGCCGGCGCCGCTAGGCGGAGGATTAGCCTAGTGAGCCGCGGCGCCGGCCTGGTTATACTCTTTCAAGACAAGATTCAAGGTTTTTTTTAATACAACTAATTTCTGAATGAAAGTTGAATGTTGTTTCTTATTAAAATCTGATTCAAGCCTCAAGTCTATAGTTCATTTTCAAAGGACTCAAGAATGACCATTATTTCAAAATTACTCCCTTTTGTTATGACTTAGCTGAACTTGGAAGTGATTATTATCTTGCCTCTGAGAACAATAGTCTATTTAACTCTGGGAAAGTCTGTTGTGCTCTTCATAAAATGCTACCCACCAAATATCAGTTAAATTGCTCACTACTTTTGTTTCTTTTTCATAGGAGGTCTTTATATTCAACAAGCCTTTTTATTTATATAGTAGCTCATAAAGTTCAAAGCAGTTTTGCCTATATTACACCCAAGAACTACTCTGTGTATTAAAAGTTTTCATGAGTTTTCTTAGTCTCTTAAGAAAAATTCAGATAACACAAGATTCTATTTTACATGTGCTATATACTATCAAAACAGAAGCAGCCATCTTTTTATTTATTTATTTGAGAAGCATAAAGACAGAGGGAGAGTGCATGCTCCCATCCATCGGTTCATTCACCAAATGCTGGCAAGGCTGGGAATGGGGAACCAAGAACTCAATCTGGATCTCTTATGTGGGTAGCAGGAATCCAGTCACTCGAGCCATCCATCATTGCTGCCTCTGAGGGTCTGCATTAGCAGGAAGCTGGAGCCAGGAGCCAGAGCCAGGAATCAAGCCCAAGTACTTTGATCTGAGACACAGTTGGCTAAACTCCAGCTCCTACTTGTTCTTTTTTTTTTTTTTAATGCATCTTTCCTAGAACCCTTGGAGTTAATTTTCAATTTTTAAGTTTACATCCAAGCTAAATAAAGTAATTTTTAAATAATATATCCAAAACAATAATTTAACAAATATAATTTATACAATGAATGAATCACATTAATTCTTTGCAGTGTTTTATCTGAAAAAATATATAAGTGGTTCTCATAAAAATTCAGAATTAGAAGTTTCCATGAGGATTCCTTGGAACTTGCAATACATTTTCCCATAGAAACTACATCATATAGGTTGGTTTAGTTCCTAAACCAGACCATAACCATTTATATCTTAATCACAATACTAACAGTAATATAGAACCAGTCACCATATCTAATATTTCCAGAGGAAAATGCCTTCCAAATTCCAGATTGGAAAGTCAGAGCACATTTCTACATCTCCTGGCTACAGGCTTCTTTCAAATTTCAACCTCCCAGAAGCTCTGAGTCCTTAGTAGTTTGTGGAAAGCAAAGAGAAACATTTACAGGTGAAAGGAGATGTAGAGGAATTAGCTGGTGTGGTTATGAAACGTAAAGCCAGTGTGAGGAAGAGATAGGCTGAGTACATACATATATTCTAAGCATACATGGAATGCAGCCAAAATAATAATTTAGATAGCAACACTCAATTTGTTTATTAAAATAATGGATTAAACTCCCCAGTGATAAAAATTTGACTCTTATTTAGATATGGAAGTTATGAAGATGAAATTAGTCATCTTCTATTTTTAAATGATAGCACAGATTTTTGTTCTTCAAAGAAGTAGTTGCAAATTGAAAAACATTAGACCTCAACCATTTTTCTACATAAGATGATTAAAAGTTTTTCTAACTCTTAAACAGGTAAAAGGATTAAAAGTGCTAAATCATCTACTCCACATAAGTCCCTCTCCCAGCTTTTCTCAACTCCACCTACCAAAAAAGTAGCAACTCTATAAATCTACAGAATACAATATAATTTAAACTCTGGTTTTATTATTTTAATATCATTAATTTAAGGCTTCTTGCTACCTGTAGGCAGAACACAATGAGCTAATAACAAACACATATAGTTAGATGTTAGGAGTTACAGAACAGTGAGTACTATTACAAATAGAACTGTTACCAGATTTACAACTTTTAAACGGCAACAAATTATTCAGTTCCTTTTTCTAAATTACATTCCTTTGACTAATTTTAAAGTTAGTTTAGTCCTGCCTGGGAAAATGACCTAATGAAATACCTCTAGGATTGCTTCCAGATCTACTGTGAAGAATCAGTGCTCCTACAGCCTAAATTCACAAGGCAAAGGAATGCTTCCTTCTTTCTTTCTGATCTTTAGAAAGCTTTGACCCTTGTCTTGTTTTTACTGCCCTATTTCATCACCCCGTGTAAAGCACTCTACATGATGAAATAGATACCACTGCTACGTGCTTCTGTAAAATAGAAAATACTTTTGAACAAAAATGAAAAGACTATTATCTTGCAAAAAGATATCAGAAAAAGATAAATTTTTTCCATGAAGCAAAATAGATGGTCACTATCATAAGGATTCCCAATTTCAATCAGTGGCTTGGGATACACCAGTTTGTTCTCAATGTCCTTGGTTGAACTCCAGGTCAGGTGCCTTGTAAGGTTCTCTTCTTGGCTACTCCAAGTTTTTTAGCCAGATTAACATTAGGATTAACATTGCAGGGACCCCACTTTTTGTGTTTTGTTTTGTTTTTATTTATTTGAGAGACAGAGAGTTCTCATCCACTGATTCAATCCCCAAATGCCTACAACAAACCTGAGCTGGGGGCCCAAGCTAGAACCTCAATCTAGGTCTCCCATGTTGGTGGCAGGAACCCAACCACTTGAGCCATCACTGTTGCCTCCCAGGTTCTGCATTGACAGGAAGCTGGAATTAGGAGCGGAGCTGAGTATCAAACCCAGGCACTCCAATGTGGGTCATCAGTGTCTTAAATAGTCTTAACCGCTAGGACAAATGCCCACCCAACATTCACATTATTAAAGAACTTAATTTAATTTCCTGAGCATGCTTCCTAATTAAACATCATTTCTGAGATACTAGAATGATTTCACTGTGAGATAATCTCACTGTAAAATTAAAAAATGTAAACTATATAATACATATAAGTATTTCTTGAAAAACAAAACACTGCATCAAAGGCAAGTTAAAGTAAGGTTCCAGGTTATTAAGTATTATTTTCAAAACTAGGAAACATTTTGAGGATACAAGTTTCACTAAAGACATACACTTTCATGTGCCAAAAGAATTTTCACAATCCTTAAGAATACAATATATGCTGTTTACATTTTGCTAAAAATCTTTGATATTTCTTAGCAGCATATTCCTACTATCTGGTTTAAGCACAGAGATTAAAAGGCATTTAAAAATGTAAATGCTCATTATAAACCACCTTAACAGAAGCCAGTGAACTCAAATGTCTCATACCTGTTGGATAGTAGGCTTGGGAGTACTGCGCAGAGGGTGTGTAGCTACTGTATTTTTGGGAGGAGCTGACCATCGTTTGAGGACCTTGTTGAACGTGTACAGACGTGGTGCTGGGCTGCAGTGTGTAGGTAACCTCAGTTGGAAATCTCTGCAGTACAGGGAATGGAACCCCTTTATCTGAAAAAGTAGGAGATGTCTCCACTTGTCCAGGGTGCATTCCAAGGGAGTTCTGCCAAGTTCTAGGAGGAATCGGGGTCCGATCTAAACCTTTCAGAGGGAAAGTACTGTGGTTGTGGGATGAAGTTGTCACGTAGGAGTAAGGAGACAAACTATCTCGCCGGAATGACCGGTGAAACTGTCCTACAGCCACTGGTCCTGCATAAAAGAAGAAAGTGCATTTACTGATTATACATTATACCATCAGACATATTAAAATTAAAACCAAAGACTACAAAATCTATTTTTCACCTATAGGTCATTTTATATTCTTTTTTAAAATCATTTTTTAAAGTTTAGAATCCAGAATATGAGATTCACATATAATGCTGAAATAATTATCACCTAAACTTTTGTTTGATTCTCAACATGGCTGTCAAGAGATAAAGTGGGCAGCCAATGTTGTAGTGTAGCAGGTAAAGCCAATGCCTGTGATGCCAGCATCCCATATGGCAATGGTTCATGTCCCACTGCAATCATCTAGGGAGTCAACCAGTAGATGGAAGACCTCTCTGTCTGTCTGTCTCTCTCTCTCTGTAACTCTTTGAAAATAAATGAAATAGGTTGGCGCCATGGCTCACTTGGCTAATCCTTCGCCTGCGGCGCCGGCACCCCGGGTTCTAGTCCCAGCTGGGGTGCCGGGTACTAGTCCCAGTTGCTCCTCTTCCAGTCCAGCTCTCTGCTGTGGCCCGGGAGGGCAGCGGAGGATGGCCCAAGTGCTTGGGTCCCTGCACCCGCATGGGAGACCGGGAGGAAGCACCTGGCCCCTGGCTTCGGATTGGCACAGCGCCAGCAGTAGCGGACAGTAGGGGAGTGAACCAACGGAAGGAAGACCTTTCTCTCTCTCTGTCTAATAAAAATTAAAAAAAAAAAAAAAAAGTACTTTCAAACTTCATGTATTTCTAAGAATCAAAATAAGTTTGAAAAAAAAGAAAATAAATGAAATAAATCTTTATATATATATATATATATATATATTGAAAAACAGAGAGGAGACACAGAGAGAGATTGTCCATCTGTTGGTTCACTCTCCAGATGGCCGCAGGACAGGGTTGGGCCAGGCTGAAGTCTGGAGCCAGAAGCTTCTTCTGGGTCTCCCATATGGGTGCAGGGGCTGAAGCACTTGGCCATCCTCTGCTGTTTTCCCAGAGCATTAGCAAGGAGCTGGATTGGAAGTAGAGTAGCCGGGACTCCAACTGGTGCCGTTAGGGGATGCTGGCACTGCAGGCTGCAGGTCAACCTGCTGAGCCACAGTGCCAGTACCAAAATAAATCTCGAAAAAAGAAAAGGTAAAGTGTCCAAACTCTAACATTAAATCAAATATTCAATGTTAAAAGCCTTAAAAGATGATTCAGCCATCTTACCTTTTACCTTTATTAACTGATTCAGATTGTTTCAGTGTGTAAATTCTCTCTAGTAATTTTCCATTCAGACTTTCAAACCATTTAGGAACCTTAAAAATAGGCATGAAAATAAGCTCTGTATCCATAGATACAGAGAACAACAAGAATTATAATATAGGGGCTGGGGCCGGCGCTGCGGCTCACTAGGCTAATCCTCCGCCTAGCGGCGCCGGCACACCGGGTTCTAGTCCCGGTTGGGGCGCCGGATTCTGTCCCGGTTGCCCCTCTTCCAGGCCAGCTCTCTGCTGTGGTCAGGGAGTGCAGTGGAGGATGGCCCAGGTGCTTGGGCCCTGCACCCCATGGGAGACCAGGAAAAGCACCTGGCTCCTGGCTCCTGCCATCGGATCAGCGCAGTGCGCCGGCCGCAGCGCGCCGGCCGTGGCGGCCATTGGAGGGTGAACCAACGGCAAAGGAAGACCTTTCTCTCTGTCTCTCTCTCTCACTGTCCACTCTGCCTGTCAAAAAATAAAAAAAAAAAAAAATTAAAAAAAAAAAAAAATAATATAGGGGCTGGCACTGTGGTCTGTAGTGCCGCCATTCCATACAGATACCAGTTTGAGACCTAGCTGCTCCACTTCTGATCTAGCTCCCTGCTATGGCCTGCGAAAGCAGTAGAAGATGGCTCAAGCACTTGGGTCCCTGCACCTACATGGGAGACCCAGAAGAAGCTCCTGGCTCCTGGCTTCAGACTGGCCCAGCTCCAGCCACTGGGGCCATTTGGGGAGTGAACCAGCAGATGGAACACTTTCTTTGCCTCTGCTTCTCTGAAACTCTGCCTTTCAAACAAATAAATAAATCTTTAAAAAAAGAAAGAAAAAAAGTCAGGTGTGAGAAGTTTAACCTTGATTTCTTCATCCCTTAAATCAACAATCATTTTCCATTGTCATTTTTTATTCAGACTATTTCTAGTAATGTCCCTTCCCAAATACCAGCAGCTCTCAAAACACTGGATTACATTAGAACCACCTGGAAAACTTATTAAAAATCTATATATCCAGGCCCAAAGATTCTGCTATTTGCTTTCTCTTATTTTACAAGGCAAAAGGTAATAAGAAGTGCAGAGAAAAGGAAAAGAAATGGTAACAATATTTAATGAGGAAAGGAAAAATATATGCTAATGTTGCAGGCTGAACTTATCTTATAATTCCTGAACACAAAATTAGCCTAATTTATTCCTAAGGAGAGTTTTTGTATTAAATTGGAGAAAACCTAACTTGTATGCTACTCAAGTATTCCCCTACATATTGAAAGACGGCAGTCAAAAGATCTCCTTTTCCAAATAGAGTGTAAACCTATTCAGCATGTCACATACTTCTCAATCTATTTTCTACTAATGAAAAATGTAAAGAATTACATATACATATACAAAAATGCAAATTCTGGAGCATTACAAATCAAGAGTTCTTTATCTAATGAGGGAAAAAAAAATCCTAGTTCAGAAGACTGAATGTATTCAAATGACAGATACCTTAATGATTTTTTGTTTTTGCTTAAAGCGCAAAAATAGTTTTTCTGACACTTAACTAGTAATTCCCCATGCACACACACTGTGAACTCTCCACTGACAGTCCTGTTTCTCTAAAGGAACATTTTTAGCCCTTCAGATCAGGTGTTTCTGAGTGTCTAAAACTACTCACTACTTGATTTCTCCTTGAATGTTTCACATGCCAAAAGGACATACTGACTACAGTATACAATAACTCACCGTCCTCCTTCTGCCTTCTTAAGGGGCAAGCTGTCGATGAATTTTCAGGCTGTCAATAACTGACAAAGCTAAAGAATTCTCTACCTTGATTTTTCAAATTCTGGCTTCTATCTGAATTAAAATATAAATTCTACTTTTATCATAATAAATTGTGTGTGATGACGTATCATCTGCTTTAGATGCTACTAACTTAAGAGCATTATCAGAAAGGTGTTTCAGTTTGTTTAAAAAAAATGAAAACACTTTCAGCTCTTCTTTATTCTTCTGGTAAGGGTCACTCATAGGGCTCTATTTTGATCAACTTCACATAGAATCAGAATATATATCTTCAGAATATCCTTAAGACATATTTGGCGGGGCCGGTGCTGTGGCATAGCGGGTAAAGCACTGCCTGCAGTGCCGCCATCCCATATGTGCGCCAGTTCAAGACCCAGCTGCTCCACTTATGATCCAGCTTTCAACTAGGGCCTGGGAAAGCAGCAGAGAATGGCCCAAGTGCTTGGGCCCCTGCACCTGCGTGGGCTGTTGCGGCCATTTGGGGAGCGAACCAGCAGATGGAAGATCTCTCTCTCTCTTTCTTCCTCTGCCTCTCTGTAATTCTGCCTTTCAAATAAATAATCTTAAAAAAAAATAGACATATCTGGCAAACTTTGAATTTAGAATTCTGGAACTGTAGTGCAGGATGGATTTCTGTTCTTAAAGATTTGATTCCTTTTATGGAAGGGAATCTGAAGGGCTCAATGGCCAGGAAAGAATCTCAAAATGTGTCTCTTGAGAGCTTGGTATTCCCAGGCAAAGACAGATTATCTGTTTCTCAGACTTGTTACTTAGTTTAGTTCCCTTTTAAAAAAATTCCTTAAAATAAACTGCCTTTGAAAACAAAATAACAAAAGTGTATAAACAAAAAGGGTGGGGGATATGTGATCTTCATATTTCTTATCAAGTATATTCTCGAAAGGTGAACAGGACAATTGGCTCTTTAAATAAAAGAACCAGGTCCTAAAACAGAGGATTCTATAGTAAAAGAGATAAAAAGTATTCAGACCCTAAGTTGAAGTAGCACACAGAAAACAAAACAAAACTGAGCAGCAGCAGTGAGTGCAGCCAGACGTAGAACCTGGAATGAGAACAAAGCTGTGCCAGTATTCTTGAAGTGACAACAGAATTACATTCCACTGAGCCAGTAACACAGTTCTCTAGTGAACCACACCTGTAGTCTAGGCAATGCACACCTGACACACCTGCACACACCAACAGGCAGAACAGCATTTAAAAACAAAAAGGAAATGCATGAGAACAATAACCAAGGTATATATGGGCTGACATATTATCTATACTACAAAACTACGAATTGATACTTTTTTCAACAATTGGTCAACAAAATGCTGACCAGTTGACACGTAAGTGAATTAGGATTCTAGAAGGTCCTTGTGTCTCTTCAACTAGATGGACCTTATCCTTAGAATACACCTGGGTTGAAGACAGGTGAAGGCAAAAGATTAGTGAAAAGAAAAAAATGAGCAAGAGTCGTTTCTTATGTGTGTATGTATGTGTGGTCCTTTGCATTAAGTGGCTATCCTGGGGCCAGCACTGTGGTGTATGGGGTACAGCCACCACCTGAGACGCTGGCATCCCATATGGGAGCCAGTTCATGTCCTGGCTGCTCCTTGCTAATGGCCTAGGAAAACCAGCTTAAGACAGCCCACGTGGGAGACGTGGAGGGAGCTCCTGGCTCCTGGGTTCGGCCTGGCCGAGCCCCAGCCATTTGCGGCCATCTAGGGAGTAAATCAGAGGATGAAAGACCTCCCTTTCTCTCACGGTCATCCCTCTCTCTGTGACTCTTTCAAATAAATACATTTTTTTTAAAAAGGTGTTTATCCTATTTCTCCCAGTAACATGTTTTTCAGTCTTTTCTCCTTAAGCCCACCAAAAACATAATCTGAAATATATATATATATATATACACACATATATACATACCAAATGTATATGTGTGTGTATATATATATATATACACATACCAAATGTCTTCTACGGAATTGTCTCGATTGCATTTCCCACCAAAGCCAATGGCCATCACATGGAAGCAGCTTAATATTCTTTTAGAATTCCTTTAAGAACATTCCTGTGCCACTGCTATCTTTCCAACTTAGAACTTAGCTAGAACTCTGACCTAGAGCCTTATCTTCTAAACACTACAGACACACAGCCTAGTCCCTTATCTTGTAAATTCCCCAAATAAACAAAGGACTGTGTCATTCATAGACCCAGGCCTAGGTTAAATTGAACATGGTGTTATTTTACTTGTATCTTTAAATTTTTCTCCATAACTCTAAAACAACCAAGACTTCTTTATATTAAACCTGCTAGCATGCTGAAAACGTGCCTGCTACTCTCCCAGTTGAAGGTGAAGAATGAATTCTTATAAAGTCTGTTGTTTCCTTGGCAGCCCACTTCTTATCAGGGGTCCTTTAAACAGAGAAAGGGTGTATCACCCCCCACTCACCTTCCTGGAAATCAAGTCTATACAATAATTCACCATCACAATGAGTGCCTGAAGTTTCCTAGACATACAGAGTTCATTTTTTTTTCTGAATATTGAGACTGTAGCCAATGGTGAAAAACCCAAAGGCTTACTGTAAATGTGAGCTTTCTAAAATTTTTAACTAAAACCTGACAGCTGTAAAGAAAACCATTTTTACTTTTCCTGCGTCTAACCGTTAACACTTTAAAGCATCAAGCTCTAACCAGCTGCAAACCAAAGAAATGCTTTGCCGTCATTCTACATAGCCGGGGAACCTTGCAAACCACCACCCATTGTTATGTTATATTTCTGCTCTTAGGATAGGTAAGTAGTGTCTACCATTCCACAGCTCACTTGGAATCTTGGCATAACTTAACCCTTCTTTCCCAGGTCGCTAAGACGAGGTAGCAGGTGCAAGATGGCATGTCTCTTCACAGGCGAACTTCCCCTCAGAGTGCCTTTCCCACACTTCTCTCAGTGGGAAGTATCCTGTGTTTTCTCGGCTGGGGCTCCGTTCCTTTTCCCCCTCGACCTGTGGAGTGCCTCTGCCTGCTTCCCGCAGGAGCCAAGGAGAGCCTGGCGGGCTGCTTCCACACCGGGGACTCCAACCAAGGCAGCCTCGGGAAGGCACAGGGCTGTGGGGGTTTGGAAGAAATCCTTGGGCTTTCAAGCCCCCGTGGGCATACGAGGGGTGAAACGCTTAAGGGCTCTTTGCAGAGGAGGTCCAGGAGGTCCTGTGGCCCTCTCTGGGGAGAAGCCAGGGTCGGGGTAGGCGGCCGGACCTGAGCCACAGTCTCGGGCACAAGGCGGAAAGGGGGCTCCCTGGCGCCTTTCGAACACCTCCAGGACAGGACGTGCGGAAGCAGCCCTCTGCAGTGGCCGTTGCTCCCCGCCGCCTATGTGGCCCGGGAGGCGAGAGTCGAGGAGGCCCAGACTCACCGTGTGGCTCGGGCCGGGGCCCCGCGGACTGTGGCGGCGGCGGCGGCGGCTCCTGCTGCTGCAGCGGGGAGGTGGAGGCCGAGGAGGAGGCGGAGGCCGAGGCCGAGGTGATGAGGAGCCTCTGGAAGCGGTTGGGCGGGCGGCAAGGCACCTCCAGGCCGGCCGCCAGCTTGGCCTTGTTGGCGCTGGTGAGCCTCTTCAGGTGCACCAGCAGCTGCGGCTGGTCGCGGCGGAAGTGCGGGCTGTGGAAGTGGTGGAGTGGCCCGTCGCCCGCCGGCCCGCCGCCGCCCGGCCCCGGCCCGGGTCCCGTGGTGCCGGGGCCGCCCAGCACCACCTTGCGGAAGCCGTAGAGGTTGAGCTGGCGGATGAAGCTGGTGAAGTTGGTGGTTTTGAAGAGCTCGGGCTCGGCCCCGGCAGCCCCAACACCAAGGCCACCGCCGCCGCCGCCGCCGCCACCACCACCACCGCCGCCGGCCCCTGGCCCCGGCGGGCTGAGCAGCTCGGCCTCGAAGAGCGGCTGGTCGATGAGCAGCCCCTCGCCGCGGCCGTCCCAGCGGATCGAGCGGTACCGGGGGCTGTTCACCAACCGCCACAGCTTGGCCGGGAAGTTGTTGGGGTTGATGGGGGTGGAAAGCAGCGCCTCCTCCATTGCCCCCGCCCGGGCCTGGGCCTCGGCCTCGCCCCGCCGAGCCTGGCTCTCCCACCCCGTTCTCGATCCCCCCCGGCCTTCGCTTCGCCCTGCCCCCTCCTGCCAGCGCCCGGCCCGCCGCGACCCGGGACCGTTGGCGCACGAGTCCCCGCCGCGCCTTCCAGCGCGGCCAATGGGGCCTCGAGTTCCCGCCGCGCGGCCCAGCGGGCGCGAGCCTGCCCTCCCCCTCGGCTGCCCGGCGCGGGCCCGGCTGCCCCGCTGCCGGACGCCCGCTGCAGGGCGGACGAGGGGAGGCGGTGCGCAAGCCGCATTCCCTCGGCGCGTCCCCAGGCCCGGGAAGCGCTGGCCACCAGGGAATTCTAAACCCTGCAAAGAAGGAAGCCCGGTTATCCACCGTGGAATACGAAGCCCCGGGCTTTAGAATGCAGAAAGTGTGTGCTGGGCAGGGCACTGTCATCATTCTGGAGAACAAAGGGCCTAACTCTGTTGTCCTCACCAACAGCGGACTTCCGTGTCAAAATGGTGGTGGCTGAGGCACGATGTCCTGAGTAGGCAAATTCCTCTTTCAGAAGGTGGCGTCGTGTACTCCTCGGTTTCTCACTACGCCCCTACTGTAAGCCAGCATTCTGTTTGGGACAGTTTCCTCGGGGTTAAGGAAGGACTGCGGGGCCTGGAAGATGGAATCAGGGAACAGAAGTACAGTCTGTGGGCTTGCTGCACCAGCTGATGGCATTCTAGATATAAAGAGAAACCTCGCCTGATCACGGGAGAATACTACAGAATCTGCAGGAATAAATCCATACCCGATGAATAAATAAGAATCTAATAGAAGCTGTGCTAAAAAAAAGGGGGGGGGCCCTTTTCTTTAAAAAAAAACAAAAACTTAGTGTTGGGTAGAAGGATACAGGGTATAATGTTGTATTATTAGTCCTTTCTCATGTTCAAAGAACAATGAGAATCAAGTTTTCTTAGAAATTAAAATAAAAAGACCCAACAAAGCAGCACTAATATAGAGATTTTATTTCAACTGTATTGAGTTTTTACAGCACATTGCATGTTTGTCACAACGCAACTGCACAGTTTGGATTTTTGGCCACATCATGTCACTTACACCCACAACAGCTCTGAAAGGAGTATTTGATGAACAAATCTGAGCCAAGAACCCAGAGTCTCTCTCCAAGGCCATGCAGTTCATTCACTGATGGGACAGACCCTCAAAACAGCCACACACAGTAGACAGATACAGCTTCCCAATTGCTACCAATCCTACTCCCCCTGAAAACAGGCAGAGTGAAGTGCAAAGTCAAGATAATTCAAAAGCCACTCACAACTGGCAGTACATTTTAATGATTGAAAAAAAAAAGTTTCTGTATCAGAGACAAGAAATAGTTTACTTTTACAGTGATCTCAGGAATCTCCCAGACATAAAATCATTATTCAACTCCATTTAAATGGAAAAAAAAAAAAAAGTTCTCCCAGGCTGACCTAAATATGCCAAAACTTTTTAGGTTACATCCATGGCAAGTATAAAAGAAGCACAGATGCTTCTCTGTAGGACTGAAGAAAAGGTCAGGACAAATAACAATTCTTGTTCTAAATGCAGATCCTAGTTATTTTGGAATGAACAAAAAGTTTTTTTTTCTAGAATGCAACATGAAAGTAGCAATGAAAAAGCTCACTACCATAATTTTAAAATAGGATAAGTTTAAATGTAATTTGCCTTTTATACACAAATGAATTAAGGAAAATGTATAAAGGATGTTCTAGTGGTTTCATTATAGGCCAAGGAGACTGTATCTGTCCCAACCACAGTACATGGCTATATCAACTCTGTCTTTTGGTTAAGTGCCATGGGTACATAATTAGATTGAAAAAAAAAAAAAAAAGTTTGGTCCAAATGGACACATTTTCTCTCCTAATTTTGGTATCAAGGCTTTATTCTCTTCTATTTGGGTTCCATTGTTAAGTGCACAGAAAAAGACAGCAGCATTTGGACTGAAACCCTCACATGCCAAACAGCATATTCTAGGAGGTAAAAACCAAACACTAAATTCTACCCTTAAGGTGTCAAGTGTTCAGGATAAGAAGCAGTGTGACCCAGAGGCGGCAGCAGCCAAGGGAAAGACAACATGGGGGAAGTGGGCCATGGAACAGTAACAACAAAAACCTTAGCTTTATCTTCATGCCAGGAGAGGATCAAGGTGTAGCTCCTGTGTTAGCACCAGGACAACTAGGAAAAGTCAGGTGCAAAGGGGAGGGCACAATCAGCAGATATTTCACAAGGGCAACTTTTGCTTTTCCCTTCTCATTCTTCACAGTGCATACCTCAAAAGCTGCCACTGGGTAACAGAGACGCCTACCTTCACAGCTCAGAGGAACTGACCTTGGCCTGGACTGAACATCAGCAGAGTTTTTTCCCTCATGTTTCACTCCCTAGAACTGTCCCCCTACACCAAATAATCACTGACGCTGGCGATGAACCAAGTGAAAGATACATCGAAACCTCCACTTGCCGAACCAGTCTTTAAACCAAACTCCACAGAAAGACAGTACGAATGCAACTAGAGGGAGCGCCTCTAAAGACTGAGCCTTCATGCACAGACACAGAGCACAGAGGGACGGGATACAGTTCATCTCAAAGAGGATAGGAATTCCTCACTTGTAGAGTATAGTCTGCTTTTGTCAAGGTGGAGGATGGGTCTGGTTATCACTTGGAGTTTTGTTATACATATGCCTTTCTATTGCTGTTTGGGGCACTTTGCACCAGGCAGTATCTATGAAATCATCATCTTGTGACTCCTGGGAGAAAGAAGCTGGAGTCACCAACTCAACGTTAAGCTCCCAGACTCTGGGTCTGGATCAGGACCATTACCCCAAGGTGAGGGCCTCACCCGTAGAGGACCTCCTGTGAAACTGCAATTCTTCTGCTCCAGGCTCATGGTACCAAGGAGGATTTCTCAAGATGCTATCTTTGAGCTCTGAATCCATGAGCCACACATCAGAGAACCTTCCAAACTACACCTGAAGCAATCCTCCCTTCAAACCTGCTAAAATTGAATAGGTCATCTCCTCTGGCATTCAACTGGAAGCTGTAGCGATGGGTTTCTTCAGATGTTGGCTCATGAGTTCCCTGGCACGAAATGCTTGAATGTGTTCGTGACATGAGTTACAGACGAGAACTGGGTCATAGAGTTGTTGATCAGGAATGGGCAGCTTCAGGTGGCAGCATTCAGCACAAAATACATTCCCACAATTTCTGCCAAAGCACAAAGAGGGAAGAGATCATCAGAAATGCCAGTCTCCTAAGAACGACTGAGGCTCTCAAAAGCTTTCCATGACTAAATGGAGAAAAGGGTTGGGAGCAAACAAGATAGCTCACATGAAGAGGTCTCTATTTTCAGGTCAATGCACTTCAGTTCTGTACATACCTACAGCACTGCTTTATGAATCTTACTAAATCATAAAAATATCTCACCTGCAGTGGTGTCTTCGTTTGGCCAACCAGAACTCACAGTCACAGTTATAGCAGTGGGATGCCATATGATCTGGAACCCAGCGAGTCACCTAATAGAAGGCACAAGGAAAAATGCCAGGTCCATGTCAACAAGGTAGAAGCACAACACCGCAACAAGGAAAACATCTCAGGGGAAAAATGACAAGACTGATTTTGCAAACTGGCCTCTACTTGCCTATAAAGATGACACTCATCTAGGGGAGAGCTCAGTCTACAGCCTGTCACTCATCTCTGAGCTCACATAAGTACCCATCACATATTTGCCTGGAAGTACCTCGGTCTCTTTCTTATCAACAGGTTCCCAGCTTGCTTCTGAAAGGCAGTCTTCACTGTGATCAGAGCCAAAATCTTCGGTATCACTACCATCTGACTCCTTCAAACACGTCTAGAGAGAAGGCAGACGTCACCATCAACCTCATCACTGCTAATACCATTTACGACGTGTCAGATATTGTTCTAAGGGCATTACATGCATGAACTGATATAACACCTCACCATAGCCTCAGCATGTATATTACTATTGTCCCCATGTTATAAATAAAGAAACCCAGCTGCAGAGAAAGCTAAGAGCTATTAAGTAGTAAAGGTGGGCTTTGAAGTTAATATTCTGGCTTCAGCTCCATGTTCTTAATATGCTATACTACAAAAAAAAAAAAAAGCTATACTACAGTGTAGAAAGTCTCTCTTGTTGTTTTGTTTTTTTTTCTTTTAAGATTTATTTATTATTTATTTGAAAGGCAGTGTTATGGAGCTGGGGCAGGGAGCAGAAGATCTTCCATCCACTGGTTTGTTCACTTCCCAAGTGGCCGCAACAGCCAGGGCTGGGCCAGGCTGAAGCCAGGAGCCAGGTGCTTCATCCAGGTCTCCCACGTGGATGCAGGGGCCCAAGCACTTAGGCCATCTTCCACTGCTTTCCCAGGTGCGTTAGCAGGGAGCTGGATTAGGAGTGGAGCAGCCAGGTCTCAAACCAGCACCCCTATAGGATGACAGTGTCACAAGCAGCAGCTTTACCCACTACATCACCTTGCTGGCCCCTTTTGTTAAGTTCTAAACCAGGAGCTGGCCAACTATGGCCCATAGGCCAAATCTAGCCCCTAACCTCAAGTTTTGCTGGAACATAGTAGCGTTCATTTACATATCATATATGGCTGCTTCTGCACTGTAACAGTAGCTGAGGCACTGTATGGCCTTTAAGACCTACACTATTCATTATCTGTACCTTTGCCAATGCATTGCCTGAAATATAAGAAGTTATTAGCCCTTTCCATTCCATCAGCAGAGAAGTGGACAACAGGCAAGTGAGAATGCCTTAACAGAAGACAAACTGGCATTCTTGCTATGTAAACAGCAGGATAGTATGGGGAGGAAATGGCTCCAAGAAGCTCCCCCAGGACTGCGATGCCAGAACTTGAGGCTACCCAACACAGCGCAGTCTAGATGCCCCTCATCATCTCTTACTTTGTTTATTCCAAAATGTCCTAACCAGCCTCCAACCTGGTTCTCAACTGCCTCATCCATTTTCTACACTGCTAGTTTTTGTTTTTGTTACTTTAAGATTTATTTATTTGAGAGGTAGAGTTACA